TTTTTTTTTGGGGGGGGGGGTATTTCCGTAAGGTGTAGGTGGATTAGAGGAATGCGGTCACACTGTTCGTAACTCGAACTCATGTTTCGTATCCACTGTTTTTGTATTTATAGATCTTTCTTCTCTCCCTTCGGGAAAAAAGCAAAGTATGGACTTGGTGAGCCTTGAGATTCATGCCATTCACACGTGGTAAGTTTGCATGTTGAGCATTGCTTCCGTACCGGGGGACACATTCATTTTTCTTGGTGTTCAAATAGATATGTGCAAATCGATTTTTGTTTTCAGCACAAGTTCCATACATATTTCTTCTCGAAGATGATGTACTGTGTGGAAATCCAAAGATTGAAACTCACATAACCCTTAATTCCTCTAAAATCTGGTCATAGCAAATAAAAGTACCCCTTTATATAGAATACTGGACATAATTCATATGTCCTACATTGTTAGCTTATCTCTTCAGTCTCCGTAAATGTACATTAGATTCTCATGACTGTGGGGTTCAAACCAGGAAGTTGCATCGATCCTAACAGTCTCTACATCCTTTGTTATACTCACTCATCAAAGTGTGACCATGGAAACGACCGAATCACGAGTAGAATAACCCATGAAACTTCATTATCAACAAAACCGATTCAGATGCGGCCTGCACACGGGTTACTCGTCTAGTTATTTCAACACTTCTGACCCGGTTTTTAAGAAGCGTTTATAGTAGTTGTTTATTGCCTTTTTGCGCTATACCATGACATTGAAAATCATCATCGGTGTTCGTTTTGACATCTTGTTTGAACAGGTTTTTTCGGGGAGGGGAGGGGGGGCATGGTACTGTTCAATTGTTTCGACTCTGCCGGTTGTACCGTGATAGCACAACTGATAGTTTATCAAACAATATTATAATCTGAACGCTTCTTCGGTGCATACACACAATAAACTTAACTGATTTCAACCCACCCTGCTTTCTTCTCAGTTGTGTACAACAACTATCCAGAAGCCGCATAAGAATCAAATGTCGACCGTTCATGCTAATGAAGCAATCGACTTAAGCTAAACAGACGGTATGGGGTCTGTTTCTTTCAACGGAACGAAGGCACAATCCGGATAGATATTCTCATTTTGCTTTTCATCATTTGTTCAGTTTCCAGTTTTACAACCATTGACCATGTCCATTTTCGTTCGCCGTTTTGGGTCACTATCTCATAACTGTCTATTTAGATAAAAATGCAGAGGGAAGATTGGAATGCTGCGAGCAGAGTCAAATAGAAGACAGGGAATTCACATGGACTAAGGTTGCAAGGATAATGTGTGTGTTTGAAAAGCCCTAGGAAACTTGTACTCATTGCCATATTTGTCTGTTTCCAGTCGGACACTATCTTCTGACACAGCAACTCACGTTTCCCACTTTTCTTTACCGTCCGTTTTATCCCATTGATTTGTACTTTACGTTGACAGGTACTTGTTGAATGGTACCATCACTTTCGCATTGCCTCATCGAGACAATGCGAACTGGACAGGTGAGTTCATTTTCACTTTCCAATCGAAGTATTATTTCGTTCTGATTATAGAAGTGTGACACAAAAGCTCACATATATGCTTCACTACGTCTTAGAGTCGACTAACTACGGCAGTGCCCGGTCATTAAATAATTTCCTCAGCCTGAACTTCCGACTCCGTATATGATTTACTGTAACAGAACATAAATTGAACTCATCATGTTGTTGTTAGCGGGGTCCCTATTTGCTGGATAAATATCACCCGAAAAAATATTGCTTAGCGCCTATGTGCATTAGAAATTCGGTAACACTGAGAAAGATGGAGAGGGATATAACTCAACAGGCCTCTCCCTCACACACACGTATCTGCTCAGACTCGATCAATCAGTTTTCATGCCCCGTCAGGTATGCTGTTTGCTAGTTTCATCCGTGTTCGAACAGTTGGGCTGGTTACCAATAGCGAGGAATGATGGGGAACGTCTGACGTCTAAGCCTGATCACTCCACTCCTACTAGGGTCTCATGTGTAGTTCGCCACTCAAAATCTGATAATTTAGGTTATCATGGCTGGATAACAAATCGCTATCTGTAGGATTGATTCCTTTTATTTTTTTTCAGAACTATCTCCTACTGGATTAAATAAGTTGACTTCTTGAATATCACGAATGACAGTTGGTTGTGTGGTCGGTTCAGATGACGACAGATTCAGATTTGACATACCGAGTGTAGCGGTACATGCATGCTTGCCACATCCGAATTCTCCATGTTTTAAGCTTTCACCAAGAAATATATCCATGCATGAATCACAAAACTGTGTTACGAATTGTCGTTTTCAGCACCATTCGGCCTCTTACTAGAGGTCGTGTGCGTTCGAGGTTTACACAATCAAGTTTAAATTATAAGGCAATCTGACGGAAATAGGTTTAGACATCTCAGATGTGGTCAGAGTAGTACAATTAGTTCATCGAGCGGTTCACCGCGGTGCATCCTCTGTTCTTTGAGAAGCTGCTGCTCGCGAGAATAGATGAGAGTTCGATAAAGACTACGGAGGGTAGGGACACTCCAAAGAGACAGAACAATCCTCCAGCAATGGGTGTTGCTTCTCCTTATCATCCCATATACTTCGTTGAATTCCTGTGGCAGTGCTTACTCAAGTACTCACACACAGAATTTTCCTTCCGAGATTTATTGTAAAACAAAGGCCACTGTTCCTTCACAGGGCATCCCGTTCATTCTTACACAGTTCACAAAGTTTTATACTTTTTATTCGTGATTACTGATTGTGTTATGTTAACCAATTCCTTGTTTCGCTACTTTGTTGGATTCCCTCATTGTTTGTGACACCCTTCTGCTCCAGTCGGAATCATCTGATCACCGAAATTGTACAATCTCATTCCAGAACTGTCTGTTCTTCCTTCCCGAGAACCGGTGAATGAATCAGGTGACCAAAAACAATCAGAGCTCGCTGTTTCCACAAGCTTGTCGATTGACATGTCCGTCAGCGATCTGACACATGTGAGTCTTGTATTTTCACCCGCTTGTGTATACATGCGCTGACACCTGTCCCCCCCCCACCGTCGTAATTCGTCTTTGCCTCTTCCATTGTTTGTTGTTTCATTTTTCTGCTTTACTTTTGTTCCTCACTCACGGTACCATGTGTTCGCTCACCTTTTTTGGTCGACATCACACGTAATCGAGCGGCGGGCCCATATGTGTCCGGTCACTCCAATTCCCCCCGGTGCCGGTTTCCATAGTGTATCACAGATCCAACGAAAAATCATGTCATGTTACTTCCCTGTGTAAGTGTGTTATGTGCACCCCGATCGAAGTATCGGGTATGTATCATTGCGAGAGATGGAACATTAGCAAATAAAATGCGCCCTTCGTAGGGCGCATTCAGACGCTTATGCAGTAGTAGGATGTTTAGACAATAGCACGAAATATCGTTTCAGTACAAAGACAGATTGTGAACAACCACCCACTACTCCCCCTTCGCAATCCTCCAAATTGTTCCTACGGGAGTAGCAATCTTTACGCAAATTTGGAGTGTGTTTCAAGTTGATAACACTCCACTAGGAACTTATGTAAAACAAAAACTTTCACTTTCATCAAGTTACACAGAACGTCTTTCTAAGTTAATTTCCTCAAATCACCTGTGAGTCGCTTGCGAATTCAACTTCTGTTTTGAAACATGTAGTGATTAGTCACTTGATCATCTGTGAGATTAAACGCCAAGAGTGGTCACCAATGCCGTTCTTCTCATCGCCTTCGCTCTGAACTGAGCGCGCACCCGTGCGCGCTGGCACTATGAAACAGTCGAAGTGGTTCTTCCGTGAAAAATTCCCGGGTGTTTGTCTTTTTGCTCTAAACTTTGCAACACTTGACACTGTTGACAAATGGCGGGTGGGTTTTGTAGTCAAATCAGGTCAGATTAGGACAGCGTGTTTGCACAGACTGGGTGACTGCTATTCGGGATTGCGCTCCAGGGGAGGAGTATTATTTTTTCCTTCATTCAATAATTGAAATTTGTGGTGCCCAGAACAAAACAAACTGAAACTCGAAAGTCTAGAAGCACTCGTTGTCTAGTTGTTGTTGTTGTTCCATCACTATCTATGCATACCAAATCGATTTTGTAACCATTACTGTCTAGATGGGCGATGACATTGATGCACAGCAAACTTGCAAAACCAGTTACGGTCAAACGGTGCATGCAGATCAATATGGTCAGATGGTTGATCTGGTACTATGCTCAGTACAGTTGTATTTTGTCTAGCTTAGTGGCCCTGTTCTCAATCCGCATTGAAATCAATCGTTGTACGCGCTGATTGACGGATTGCCACTACAGCAGTTGCATCAGACTAATCCTTTGCCTGTCAATTTACATGCACAACACGATGCTTTCCACGATAACACAAATTCATCTGCCCGCTTCCGGTCAATCGGGGTGATATGGTGCATAACGATTGATGACATCTAGAGTGATTACCAGAGCCTTCGGATGTGGCATAACAACACACAGCGATCTATTCGAACCGGAATCCTGGCAACATTTGAAACACCATGCATTAAAATTATCCTGAGTCACCAAATCGAGGTGGTTTTAAATCTTCCGGACCATGTCAGTGGTTTCATTGCAAAACGAGAGTCCATAGTCTTTTGATTCCATACGTTATAATGCTGTCTCTCTTCGTTGCTGTTGTGCCTAAAATAAACTGACTGGGTATCACTAAAAACGACACCAGAACAAACATAAATTGTTATATGAGAAGAATGGCGGATTTGATTTGATTGGATGATGAATTCGTCGTGTAAATGAGGCGTGAGCTGAGTCATAACCCTGGAGTTTAGTGCTGAGATGAGCGAGGTTCGTTATTCGCAACAAGCTCACGAAGATGGGTTGAGCTATATCGTGTACATTAAAAATAAGAAACGGTCTGATCAGCTGCCCGGTGACCGAAAGGGGTCGTATGCGTGCGTTCTACCTGTGCTGAGGTCCAGGGCTCGATCCCCAGTTGGGTCAATGGATTCACGCACGGAACGGATAAGACCCACCTAGGTCGAAACAGCTACCCAGTGCTTCCTAGCTTTTCAGCTCACGTCTCATTTACGCGACGAGCTCTTCATCTACACATGAATTGGCAATTCAGTTCAACCCTGTTATGAGCTGGTTGGTAACACACGACTTCCATGTGATGAATCCGGAGTAAATAGCCTAGACGGGATGGTGGATATGCATTACTGATAATAAGCTCTAATAAGAATGAAACTCGAGTCTCCTCCAAGTGTATGGTTGACTAGAAGAACTGAAGATGGTGCGTGAAGGTGAAATCGACGGAAAGTCGGTTCAAATCACTATTGATTGTCCCGCACCAACACTACTCATACGTAACTGAGTTGAATGTGATTCCAAACAAAAGCTTTAACTACATTCTGTTCTTTAATTTTGTAATTTTATCCTTACAGGTGACTCCGCGTCCTCTGTCAGTTTCACCCGCACCGTCACCGGACAAAACAAGGTTACAATCTTCACAGTGAGTTTGTTTTGCATTTTAGATCCCTGTTCCATAGACCACTGGACTGTTTTCCTATTGTTCATGTGGATTCATTCCTAAATCTCATACTGGATCGCTTTCATTCTTTCGGTTCGGATGACTCTTGTTCGTACATCCCCACGGTCCGTGACCGATGAATATGCGTTACCGTGGTGGTGGTAGTCGTCATGTCTGCCTGTCTGTCTCTGTGCTATCCGAAATCGCCTAATACCTGATGCGCCATTGTGCTATTGTACATCACCATTAAAGTTCATTGAGAGAAAATTAAAACTTTCCGTTTGCTCAGCTATTTCTTATAAAAGTTGTTTGTGCCCGTACGATTCAGCTGCCTTTTCGGTACTGTACTGTACTGTACTCATCCAAACTGTCAAACACTCCAATCATCCCCATTCGTTTTTTACTCATTGTTTTCACTCAATATTCCTGACTGGTAGGGTAATAGGAAAAAATAACACAGTGAACGTGTAACTTTGAGCGATGATTCTCTGTATTTCCCATCCATCCACATACACCTCAGGTCTCCGAATCCGGACTTCAAAGAACCGCATGACGTGACGGTCGAGTGTGCTTTGGAGGCGACTTCCGATCTGGATGAACTGGATATTCCACCGTTACGTCCGTCCGATTTCTCACAAACATCTATTCACGAGCCCCAGTGTGTCCCAACTGAAAGTTCTCCAAATGCGGACATCACAGCACAGGTACCCGATGTCGAACGTCTTTCGGACCTAGTCCCTCAGGGCACGTTCGAGCACACAACAAATAATGAGGTTTCACGGGTCGAATTGGAGTGAGTGTTCTCTATTGATTCCCTTTGCCTAAGCTTGACCACCAATTACCATATTTCATTCATCTGACAAATCATTTTATCCACTCAAAAGAAAGACTGAAAAAAACCAGAGAATCGATGCAAATCTTACCAGAACCAGATCTATTCAATTTAGACGTAGCTGTTCGTAAACCATATTGAACAAGTATAGTGCCAAAATTTTGAAACCCAATCACCTTTTTGAGTGAATGAGGCTTCGTTCTGGTCTCCAGGGTTGCCCTTTCAATATATCTTCAAGGGAAATCGTATACATTTCGTTCCCACTGTAACGACATTTTTCAGCGAGGGAAGTGGTTAAATGTTGCTAGGTACAAACATTTTTCGCGCCTCTTTTCAGTCGCGAACGCAACACATTTGTATGGCTAAAATACTACTGACAAGGAAACAATAATGAGTGACGGTTTGATTGATTATTTTTTTCCAGGATAAAAACCCACTATTGCGACGAAGGAAGAAAGTGATCTGGCTGGTTTCTTGCACACAGTGTGATGGGGTTTGTGTTTCCTAATTAGTAATTTACCACCAGCCAACGACTTCGGTACGTGATTGCGTAATATCGCCGGATAAACCGTTCACGTCAACTGGATGAGCAGTCTTTTACAATCAAAACGGTTAGGTTTTCTTCTCCTTGGTTGCCCTATCGGTCTGATCGCGTCATCGATTAACTGGATGTGTTTCCCTATTGATACTCGTTTTGTCAATCAACGATTTGTCCTACAACTGCATCGTCTCTAAACTTCTCACTGGCATTATACTCCGTCGATTGTCTGCCGCACATGAAGAGTGCACGCGTGAGAACCAGGCTGGTTTTAGACCTGGTCGAGGTGGTATCGACCACATCTTCAATCTTCATCAAATTCTACAACACAGACACACTCCTTTCATAGACCCACCATCTCTGTTTTCCTCGATTTGAAAGCGGCTTTCGGCTCAGTCGACATCTACCTTTCCCTGATGGGTGTGCCCGAAAAATTTATTTCAACATTACGATTCCTTTATACTAATAGCCCACGTCGAGTCCGAGCGTACGGCACTTTTTCACCCGAGTTCACCACGCAAAGTGGTGTTCGTCAGGGTTGCTTTCTCTTTCCATTCCTATTTAAATTTGTTACAGATCTGATTATGGAAACAGCCCTATCCTCGTGCGAGGATAGTGGCCTCGATTGACTCCCAGGTGGTAGACTCTCTAGTCTGGAGTATGCAGATGACATTGTGCTACTAAGTGAAGATCCAGGTAAGTTGCAAGCTTTTCTGGATAGTTTGAGTGCTAGTGTACCCTTGTTTAGTATGCGTTTTGCACCTTCTAAGTGTAAAATGTTACTACAAGACTGGGTTGGTCCAGCACCCAGCCTCGCTCTAGCTGGGGAAGTATTAGAGCAAGTGGATAAGTTTTGCTATTTAGGCAGCTATATCCCACCCGGTGGATGCATCACAGATGAAGTGTCAGCTTGCCTACAGATGGCTTGGTTGGCATTTGTCAACTCGGGACATCTGTGACGTCGTCGCGACATCCAGCTGTCTGTGGGATATGCGCCCGAAGTAGAGGTCAGCTCTAGAGCGTACATTCCTGGCTGCCCAACTCAGACCCATCGCCTCCACTTGTGGAATTGATTTGGACAAAACTAAACATGGCTTGTAAAACTGTTCCGTCTCCAGTGGAGTTCAACAAGGCTGCCCTATATCCCCATTCTCTTCCTATGTTGCCATAGAGGATGTCCTACAGAATGTGCGGTCTAACAAATGGTAGGGTCGAACTCCTCCCAGGGAATAGAGTCCTTGACTTAGAATATGCCGATGACATCGCCTTGCTTGGTGACAAGACACAGGCGGTCCAAAACGATTTGGACCGCTCGGCGATCGAGGTATCCAGGTATGGTATGTACTGTGCATCATCAAAGTGCAATGTGCTGATTCAAGACCGGCAGGAGCCTGTGACTGCATTCACCCTCTGTAGTGATCAGCTAGAAGTAACTGAGAGCTTTAAGTAGCTCGGGAACTTGATCGTAGCTGGTGTTGGTGTTGGAGAGGAGATCACATCACGAATAGCGAAAGCTAGAGCAGCTTTCGCCAACCTACGACACCTGGGGTGCCTCCACAACATTCGACTGTTCCTTAAGGGAAGGGTGTACATCGCCGCATTTCGTAGTGTTCTGCTTTACGGTTGCGAGACCTGGCCTCTCCGAGCGGAGGATGCTAATCGAATTTCTGTATTCGACCACCGATGTCTCCGAAGCATTGCTCGTGTCAGGTGGGAACACCGGATGAGTAATGACGAGGACCGTCGTCGAATGCTGGGTGTGGATAATCGTTCTCCAACAGAAGTAATCGGTCTACACCTCCTCCGATGACTTGGTCACGTCTTGCGTATGTCTGC